ATTCAAGTTTGGTGGGCTCTCTGATTTTTACATCTCATCGTCACTTTATTTATTCTAACTATTATAATAACTTCTCTTCTGGATCTAAGTTTAGTTCACTTACAGATTGTTTTTGATAACTGGATAGCGTTATACATATATTAATAATTTGAATATCAGTTATGTAACGATTGACTTTAGTCGCTGCGCTATGGATTGTTTTTTTGATGGATTTTCGTTTAGGGATTCGAAAAATAAAAGTATAAACGTGTAAATAAACCTTTAGAAATGAGAATCTTGAATTCTTTTGGGTTTAAAATCACACTTTTAGCACATTTTTTAGAGTAAAAAAAACTATAAAAAAACTAAAAAAACAGAACTGAAAATAAAATAAAAAACTGAAACTAAAAAAGACCTTGAATTCTTTTGGGTTTAAAATCACACTTTTAACACGTTTTTTAAAGTAAAAAAAAAAAAAAAAACTAAAAAAAACAGAACTGAAAATAAAAAAAAAACTGAAACGCTTTCACATGATTCAAATCAGTGACATATAGCTTAATTTTAGGGGGATTTGCCACTGCACCATCAATTTATCTATGTTAGTGAGAGAGTTCAAAATATATATATCTACAGAAATATAGAAAATTTACCTAATATATACGATGTAATTTTTTACCGAAAAAGTTTGGATGAACCCTTTGAAACCCGCGTGGGTCTGCCCCTGTTGGCAGCGACGATAAGGAACAGAGTGTACATCTCTAGATAATAAATAAAACAAAAGATGAATAATAGACTAATATGTTTAACTAATTATATTGACTTTTCTCTATGTTTTTTCCCTAAGTATTGTAGGTCGTCAGTTCAGGGGGAAGGGGAAATTATGATTTCAAAGGTTTTATCATATAGAAAAATAAATAATAGATTTCTAGGAAATCATTTAATTATTGAATTTTAAAAAAGAGCTAAAGAACATAAAGAAATGGAAAAATTACAGAAATCTCACCTTTTAGTTTACTTATCACCATTATTCCTTATAAGTTTTACAAATCTCCAAAATCCCTCATTTCGCGCATCAGATTAGTGTATCTTGCTCATCAGATTAGTGTATCTCGCACATCAGATTAGTGTATCATGTATAAAATACACTTCAGATTAGTGTATCATGTATAAAATGTAATGTATCTTACTTAACGATTAATGTATCTCGTGCATCAGATTAATGTATCAACGCTTATATTATTATATCCATTTGAGAGATTTCTGTAATTATAAACTTTTAAGGGATATATTGTAATTTTGTCTTAAAAGTATGTGATTTCTGTAATTTGCCCGATAAATTAATGCTTATATGAAAATAATTGCATAGGCGTTCACATATGACTTTCATATTAAATTATTAATGGGTGAAATACATTTCCCATGATTGAATTTCAAATCATTTTTTTCACCCGGTATTTGTTATCACTTATCTACATTACTGTTTAATTACATTTGAATTCACACATTATATGATCCATTTGTGAGACGGACTCTTAATATAAATTTTTTCATTTGCGAGAGCTAAAATCCAATACGATCACAAATCACAACCCATGATAATCAATGCTTTATTTAACCTATAATACGAAAAGTCTTCATTCACATTATTATGACCCATCATCTGATTAATTAATGTACAATCCATGCATTTTTTGTTTCAAGATCTGAACCAAATCAAAATAAGTTAACGTCTACGTCTACGAGTCAAATATTAAAGTTAAAATGTATATCTAATTCAAGTCTACTTATGACATTAGTTACGTCTATTTTGAAGTCTTAATCAACTCGTTCAATGTGAAGCCCATCTACACCTGTATGAAGCATCTCCTCTCGAGATTGGTTCTTCCAAAATTTCCAAATTCGCTTTAGAGATTGAACAAGTGTCATCAGTCTAGAACGCGTGATACATAAGATACGCATAATATAATATTTTTTAATTTGATAGAAACTTCGAAAAAAAAATAGTTGAGGTCAGTGGTAGTGGTATAGTGTGGGAGCCTGGATTTACGTGCATCCAATACCTTCGAATATTTTGGTCTCATATTAAAAAAAAAGAAAGAGAAGACAAGACTCATTATATTCATAAAAAACATTTGAAAATCTACCTTAAGTAATTGAGCGTGAAAGTCAAATAAATTGAAAGATTCATAGTATTTGATTAAATTTTTTTTGAAAGGGGGTGGGGTTGATGCAGGGGCGGAGCCAGCATATACTTAAGAGGTTCATCCGAACCTCCTTTGGCATAAAATATTAATATTTATACATAATTAATATTATTTTGTAGGTATGTATAATAAATGTCGAACCCCCTTTCACTAGTTCGTGTGTTTACTTCTAAAAATCTCTTATTAAAAATCTTGGCTCCGCCGCGACTAGGTTGATGTAAGTATAATCTGGTTCCATGGAGTAGTTGGGATGCATTTAGACCTCACATGCAATGTTCCTTTTTCATCTATTAAAGCCTAGCTACTTCTTTTGAACATAATCATGGGCCACCCATCTAAATTCTTAATTGATGTTGAGTCCCACTTGATTAATTCATGATTGAATCACTTTTCAATGTCTTGATTTGAATTTTTGCAAAACTAATTAAATAATTATTCATGAATATCCAGAATGTCTAGGGACCTTAATAATGAAACTAGTTGTTGAAGTAGTCCTTTTGGAAAAAATCTAGTGTTAAAAGACAAACGTTGCTTCTTTTATCAAATAATATTGGAATGTGTTAATTATATGGATTCTTGCTTAATGGCTGGATTATGTCTAGGATGGATTCTAAATATGGATAGTAAAACTTTATCTGAAACATTTATTTTGAGTCGAAGGACTATCAGCTACCTTGCAAATGTTACACTGAGTATGTTGTTGTTTGATAATGAAAATTGATAAAACAGAGTCAAACATCATTAGCCTCCATGATTAGCATAATTGATCTTAAAGATATGCCTTTTAATACGAGTATGATGAGAACCATGCATAGAAAAACAGATTGAATTTTTATTATTAAACCCAATCTAACTAAGAAAAAGTTTCTCTTAAGTTATAGATAGAGAAGTAAAAGCAAAGAAAGGAGTAGAAGAATTTTCTTTATTTAATTTTCTGGGACTGAAAAATGATGAAAATCTTGTCTCTTTTCTTTTTCATTTTTTAATAGGCTATAGACTATAGACAACATCATTTTTTTTGGTTTCCCGTTATCTAGTCCAACTAAATTCAGATTCGCACCAGAAAGTTTTGCATTGGGGATAAAACGATTCCTCACAAAGGCGATTCCGTATGTAAGAAGACTCAAATTCGAGACCTCTTAATTAAAAATGAAGAAATACTTATTATTCCACCAAAAACTTTATCAGTGAAAACATCATTTCTACTACTTGAGCAAAAGAGTAGCAAAAAGTTACCTTGAAACTTAAAAGTGAAGAGAAAAGGAATATTTTCATTTTTAATATATCAATAGAAATACAATTATTTTTCTTTATCTTTAGCATTAACTATAACGATAAAATATGTATTTAATTTATTATTCTTTTAAGGGAAGTGTGATGTTTATTGTGTTGTGGATAAAATAAAAGTGAATGAGGGAGTAAGATCTTTTTTAAAAAAAAAACTACTTAAAATAATACTAACTCAGTTTTCAATTGTTTCTTAGTAGTTGTCTCAATTATCTAATGGGACACATAGTTCCTTTCTTCCATGGTTCAAAGTCCAATATTTAATTTTCTTGGTTTTAGTGTGTGAAATTCAAAGGTTAAATAATCTTCACTGTTATCCATAGTTTAGATGCTGAGAAAGAGAAAAAAGATTCAGTAATCAAGAAAGGTAAGTGGTTTGAAAAGAAGCAAAAGGACAGTAAAAAAAAAAAGGTCACCTTTGCCATTCTTAGTGATGGTTCTTCAAATGTTTTTTGTTGATAAAAATAATCAGAGGATTGCCCAAATTATATAACGAACTCAAAGTTTTCTTTTGATCGGATGTAGAGTAACACTCCTCATGTTCGAATTCAAATATTCTTTATCTGAGATTTCACTGTCTAGGTCAGAGCATAATGTTCAAGGATCAAGAGTATATTCACAACTCGCGCCACATTGGACTCAATGAGTGTGACCCTCATATCATGTTGCACTTAGTTTTTATGCCTAATTCACACCATAAAAACTAGTTCAAAGAATTAAGAATTGTTCAAGCCTTATAAGGAGTGCAAAATTCTCTTCCCGTTCCAATTTAGTATCATTCTCATCAACAGTCTTACCTCGAAATGGGATTTTTCAACACCAATCTAGATATGATTAAAATTTTTAATGCAGATACCGAACACCGATGAAAACTAAAAAAAGAAAAGATGATTTTTCCAAGACCATAGTGACATTATTTGGTGTCCTTTTACTTTTATCATTCAAATTTACCCTCTTGTCCTCTTCCCCCCACTTCCACTCTGCCACCCAACTTTAATTCAAACTTCAAACATTTCAAAGTTCAAATCTTTAAAATATCACTTGGCTAGAAAATTCTACTGCTCCACTCAAATTATACTGTCTCACTTTTTCAAGAAAAAGGAAAGGGCTTTTAATGCTGGTAAGTAAGCCCTCATTCATAGGCAATCTTGCATCCACATAAAGCTAAAGCCTTTTTCTTGATTCTGCTTTGTGAGTGTTTTTTTATTTTTTTTCATTCTCAAGGCTTCTTGTATCAACTTTTTTGCTTAGAACAAGTAAGAATTGAGGGACATTTTCTTGATATTTCTATTTTTCACTTCCTTTGTCTTTTGTTGTTGTTTTTGTCTTTGTAAAGATCAAAGTTTCCTCCTTTTTAAGGACTTGTGTTTGTTTGGTCAAAAGTGATTTGTGATTCTCTTTCAAGAACATTAAAATAAGAGCAAATCTCACTTTTTGAGGTTATAATACTATAGTCCTTCAAAGAATTCTAGTTTATATCCTCTTTCACATTCTATGTTGTTCGGACTCTTCAAACCGCATTTTTTGGATAGTTCGAGCAATATATGTTGGATAGATCTTCATTTTGGTGGACATTTGAGTGTATTCATTCAAACAGACATAATAAGATTATATGAAAATTTAATATTTGAAACCCTTCTAGTTTTTATTTTATTTTATTAGGATATCATGTGCACATTTTTCAATGACATTGACATATGCATGGGGTTAAAGGTGTCTGCAAAATTTCCTTTTGCTCTGTTCTAAAAGCATGCTTCTTTCTTTTATCTTTTGTATGTGTCACTGTTGGATTATTTACTTAATTACTTTGGTGGGCTATTTGTTACACTCCTAAAAATAAGTGTTGTTGGACAATTCTGGCTTTGCTGCAAAAGCCAAAAAGGTGTAATTTCATTGAATTAGTACTCAAAACTAGTTTTTCCTGCTTCTATTGTTGTGTTTGTATGTTACTTTCTTGAAATTATTTCTGAAAACTTTCAATTCTAATGCAATGTGGTGAACTTGATGCATTTTGTTGATATGATTTAAACTGATTTATCATATTTTGTCCTGGTTTCTTCAATCCTATTATTGAGTGTCGAGGGTGTATCGGAAACAAACTCTCTACCTCCCAAGGTAGGGGCAAGGTTTGCGTACACACTATCCTCCTTAAACCTCACTAGTGTGACTACAATTGATATGTTGTTGTTGACTTAAAACTGATAATTGATCCTTCACTTCCACAGATCAAGATTTTTGAAGTGTTGGAAGCTTTGCATCATTTGACATTTTAAGAAGGTACAATGCCAAGATCAAGGTGAGTTCTTGGGATGATTTGCACTCCCTTTAAAAGCTGTATGAGTAAACCGTAAACGATTTTTTTAGAATATGGGTGTATTTTAACATGTTGTAGCAGGTTATCCGTGTCCGGTTTGATATGGACTGTTATCATTCTTATATGTTACAAACTTACTATTCATAGTATCTAACAGTAACTTTCTTTTTCAATTTTTGAGAGTATAGGGGATCAGAAATGCCTCAAAGGCAATCTCCTCGAGCCCCTTCACAACTTAGAACATCAAGCTCTGAGTCTGATCCTCTACACCATAGGCCAGTGACTGACCGGAGTCCTAAACTAGGTGATCGTCGCTCTCCACGTGGTGCTCAATCTGATCCACTGAATCAAAGGAAACTTGGAACAAGAATTGCAGATTTGGAATCCCAACTTGGCCAAGCACAGGATGAGCTCAAGTCCCTTAAAGAGCAGTTAGTTTCAGCTGAGGCTGCAAAAAAAGCAGCTCAAGAACAGCTTGAGAAGAAAACCAAGAAGCCAACTGTTGTTGAGTCTGACCAAATCCAAGAAACCAACAATGACAATGACAACAGAATCAATCCAAGTCATGAAATTCAAGATGACGATGAAATGAAAGAAACAGATGTGTTTGAAGTTCCAGTTGAGAAGTTAACTGTGGAGCCTCCTCCAAGTGTTGAAATTAGCCACCCCTCTACTGAAGATGACTTGAAAAGTTTAAGTCTTTCACCTGATGAACCGGTAAAACCATTGTTTGAAGAGCTGAATTTGAAGGATGAAGAGATTAGTTCACTGAAATCCAAGTTGGAGGAGAAAGAAAAAGAACTTGAGGTTTTCAGCCAAGAAAATGAAAACCTGAAAAAGGAGCTGAATGAAAAGATGCAAGAGATATCATCCACTAAGGCCAAGGAAGACGAAACGAGCCTCAAGCTAGACCAAGTAACACAAGAGCTGGAAACAAGCAAGAATGATGGACTTAATTTAAAGGAGAAACTTGAAGCTACTGAGAAGGCAAAAGAGGCATTAGAGAATGAGATGAAGAAACTAAGAGTCCAAACAGAACAATGGAGGAAAGCTGCAGATGCTGCAGCAGCAATATTAGCAGGAGGAGGTGTGGAAATGAACGGGAGAAGGCTACCGGAGAGGTGTGGATCAATGGATAAGCACTTTGGTAATGTATTCGAACCAGGTGTTGGCGGATATGGCAGTTACATGGGTTCACCAGGGTTAGTTGATGATTCAGACGATGTTTTTGGACATGGCAAGAGAAAAGGTTCTGGTATTAAGATGTTTGGTGACCTCTGGAAGAAGAAGGGCCACAAATAAGTGTCATTTTGATCGTCATGTTTTGCCAGCTGAATGGTCGCTCGCCATTTTCTGTTTATTGGCTAATGTATGAATCTTCTTCTTGGCATCTGGCCAATACTACTACTACTTATGCTGAGTTTAAATTTCTGTGTTAGCAGTGTCTTATTTCTTTCTAGTCTTAGCTTGATGCCATAACCTGTCATTCAGGGCAGTGCCTATAGGTCCATAATGTTGGGTGTTTTTCTGTGCGGTGGATGACAAAATGCTGGTGTATTGCTTTAGATTGAATTTTTGTCTATCGGAAGCAACCTCTCTACCCCCATTTGAACCTCCCTAGATCCCACTTGTGTGGGATTACCTGGATATGTTGTTGCTTGAGATTGAATGTCAACAGTAAACACATAATGAATCTGCACATATTGGTATATACAGAAAATACACTAGACGTGAAATGACACTGGTTAGAGAACCTTGTTATCAAAGAAAATGATTGAAATTTGTTAACAAGGCTTCATTTTACTTGTGACTTTTTCCCTTGGTCAGCTACTAGATCACAAGAAGTGACATTCTTGTTACTACTCACAGTTGATGGTTGAGTTCCACTACAAATGTATAAAACTGCAACGTTTATCTTCGAATTGTCCAGTAGTCTTTTTTTATCAAGGCAAGATTCACCATTGTGTGCAATATCAAAAGTAGTTTAACTTGAAGTTTTACCGGTGAGACAAGTCGAAAGTTCAATACCAGTAGATCACCCCTTAGACTCAAAATTTTGCGTGTATTTTCAAGCATTCATTACATAGATAAATTAATACCAATTAAAATATATCGCCTTCTATAATTATAATCATATTGAACTGTGTGTGACAGTTGATAATTGTTCTAATATATCATTTGCCAAAAAAGAAATAGATGAAGTTTAGTCGAGAATTACACGATGATCTAATTTTGACATGACATGTGACTAAAATAAGTTATACTCCGGCCTCCGATCTATTTTACTTATCGTGTTTTTTCTTTCAAGTTTTTTAAAGTAATATATTTATAATAAAAAAATTACAAATTTGACTAAATTAAGTCTATTTATTCATTATATTTTATATTTTAATTATTTATTTTTAGTAAAAACGACAAATAAAATAGGACAAGAAATAGTAAAGTTTAGACAAAATCCAAAAAGAGCGGGACAAAGCATGTAACTGTAAGTTTGTAACAAAGGCTCCAGTTGAGCAATCAACATGCAAACACGACGTCGTTTCACGTGGACTGTCGAACTGAGAGAAATTTGACATCGGAGACAAAAATCAATCGGAGAAGAACGAAGCTAAAAAAGATGGTGCACAGTGCCTACGATTCCTTCGAACTTCTCAATAGTTGTCCAACGAAAATCGATGCTATCGAGTCATACGGTTCAAATTTGCTCGTCGCTTGTTCCGATGGATCTCTCCATGTTTACGGTCCTGAATCCTCCGTTCCCGGTCAATCTCCGCCGTCCGATTACCACAACCAAAACTTAGGGCTTCAGCAGGAACGATACGTGCTTGAAAGAACTGTGAATGGATTCTCCAGACGACAAATGCTGGCTATGGAAGTCCTCGTCTCACGAGAACTTCTGCTTTCCCTTTCGGAGTCTATTGCGTTCCATCGGCTGCCTAATTTGGAGACTTTAGCTGTGATTACTAAGGCTAAAGGTGCAAATGTGTATTCGTGGGATGATAAAAGGGGTTTTTTATGCTTTGGGAGGCAAAAGAGGGTTTGTATCTTCAGACATGATGGTAATTACTTGAATTGTAGTTTATTACTATATTTGTTTGTTGGAAGTTGATATTGATGCATTTCTGATGATTTTAGATGAGTGAGTGTGTATTTCAGTGTCTGCTAGATGTGAAAGGAAGTGTTTTTCCATTGGTATGATGTTACTAACATAATTAGAACTATGCTTTACCACTATAAAGGTAATGGTTAAATGTGTTAAAGAATGCAGTCTGAATCTGTTTTTGCGTCCGGTAAGTGGAGACATAACCTTGAACTGTAGCTAACCTTTTGCAGATCTTCCAAATTAGCTACTTCCCTTGTACTTGCTACTAAAATATGACAATATTTGAGCAGACGTAAAGATATTAACTTGATTCATATGTTACAATAAGGCAAGTAGAAGAAAGTATTAAACTGATGGTTGAAAAGATAATTGATATAGTAAACATCAGATAACACCGGTTTTTAAAGTAGTTTAATGATTTGAATTTTCGGAAGTTGTATGGAAATGGAATGGTTCAAACATTTTTTGACATCTGAAAATAGCTGGAGGGAGGTATAGTTTTCTGTTCACTGCTCTTAGTTTAACACAAGTATCATAAGTGCCCATAATTCTTCCTTCTTGCACTTGGTGACTTGACTTTCAGGTTTCTTGCTCAAAGAAGTTTGGATATTGATGATAGTAGTTTTGTCATGCTATAGGAGTTCTGTTAGTGTAGTCTGATTCTTATTTGAAACTTTGATAGGGGGGAGAGGATTTGTGGAGGTGAAAGAATTTGGAGTTCCTGACACAGTCAAGTCGATGTCTTGGTGTGGTGAGAATATCTGCTTGGGGATTAGAAGAGAGTACATGATATTGAATACCACCAATGGTGCATTGTCTGAGGTGTTCCCTTCGGGGAGGATTGCCACACCTCTTGTGGTGTCTCTTCCCTCTGGAGAACTTCTTTTGGGCAAGGTAATGTAACACTTATTTTTTTAGAAAGGTAATAATGTTATATATCATCAGCACAAAGGTTGCGCATAAACCATGTTGACATTTCAAAAGAAGCAAAATATCTCCTTGCTCTTCGTACAGGAATTCTATGATTTTTATCAATGTTTCAGCATCATCTAGGAATTTTTCCTTACATCAAAAATGAAATAAGATCTGACAGTTCATCTTGCCAAAGCTGGTCAACTCCAACCCTTACCACACAACACATTTTGAACACAACTGCAACCCCCGGTTCATCAAGTTGTCTTGAGTCAAGCATGATTTTTACAACTAGCGAAAAGAAAAAATTGCCACCTTGTAGGGTATCTTCACTTTCCAGATATGCTTCCAAAGCCATTTGGGCCCCTGCTGACCACTATGCATGAGTACTATATAGGCCTATTTACTGTGTAAATACCTTTGCTATGCATCTGCGAGAATAATCTGTCTTCAGTTGCTGTGTTACCTGGGAAATGTTCCAAACTTCTGAGAAATTCAGTTATTCTATTCACTTCCTAGTCTTTCAACATTCTTCTAAAGCTTATCACTGTCATTATTGCATTGAGTTGATTGGCCTTTTAGTTCTTTTCCACACTCATGCACACACCAATATTGCCTTATAGACCGAGGCTGACCATCTTCCCAAAGTGTTCTTTTCAAAATTCACATACCAGAGCTTCATTGTATCCATAAAGCAGAGAAAATATACTTTTACTTCAGAATCTATTTCATCTTATGATGCACCCTCCATTCTTATTCCCTTGATGACTTTGATTCCATAGAATCTGTAGTCTACTCTCTATGATTTAGTTGATGAAGCCCTGTTGGATCATCTCTCACTTCTCCCGAGTGAAGTCCAAATCTTTGAAAACTAACTGTCCAATTTTTATTTTATTTTTTTTGTGTACTGAACCAACACAAGTTTGCTTGGTTCTGGGTTTTTTTTCCCAGTAAAATTACCTTTACTTATAAAAAAAAAAAGGATGTTTGAAAATTACCACTATGCTTAATTGTTGTTGTTTCAGGATAATATTGGTGTCTTAGTTGACCAAAATGGAAAGTTGATCCAAGAGGGCAGGGTTTGTTGGTCAGAGGCTCCTGCAATTGTTGTTGTTCAGAAGCCCTATGCCATAGGTCTTTTACCGCGACATGTTGAGGTAGCTTTAGTGTTTCATTTGCTAATCCGTACTTTTTGTTCATTATTAAGTGAATAACTTTAGATCTAAATAATCTGAAATGATAATGCAGTTTGATGTTTTGGAAAATTGCAGATACGCTCTCTTCGTGTTCCTTATCCTTTGATTCAAACAGTTGTCCTTCGGAATGTTCGTCGTCTTGTTCGAAGCAACAATGCTGTTATTGTTGCTCTTGACAATTCTGTTTTTGGATTTTTTCCTGTTCCTCTCGGTGCACAGGTAATTGTCACTTAAGGAGGTTTAGTTTAATATTATGTTGAACTATCTTGCTTATGCTTCTACTCCAGTATTTGAACTGTAGCACATTTATGTCTATGTGTAACTGAACAACTCGTTTTGGAGGGACTGAGGCCTGTTATGACTAAGCTGAGAATGCCTTAGGCTCACAAACGGATTGTCTAATTCTTGCAAAATAAATCAATATCGCAAGTTGTAACTGGTCATGATTAGTTTTGTTTATGAGACCTCTGCAATGGTTTCCGCTGGTCAACAACCAACTAAAGTGCTCTATACTTACATACATGCTTGACAGAGTTGTCTCAGTCAATCGTTTTTTATTAAACGGTTCATTGATCAAATGCCTTGTGGGCTTTCTCGCTTTTTCCCTAATACATGCAAATCTTACTTTTTGTACCCACTTAAGATCAAGAGGTTCAGGAGCAGAACCACAAACCATTATTTTTTGAGTTTATTGTGAGAGTGTGATCCCAACTTATTTATATATAATATATGATGCAGATTGTACAACTAACAGCCTCTGGAAACTTTGAGGAGGCCTTGGCTTTGTGCAAATTGCTACCACCAGAAGATTCAAGTCTTAGATCTGCAAAGGAGCAATCAATTCATATAAGGTGACCCCCCAAAAAAAAAAAAAATGGCACTGGTATCTCATTTAGATATTTTTCAGCACCTTCTTGTTTGTTTCTATTAATGAACGTTTTACTTTGGTCATGGTCAACCCCCCCCCCCAGCATTTTACCACTTCTTATGTTAACATTGTAGTTCAATTGCAATAGTACCTCGCTTAAATCAAAGTTATGGTGTATACATTCTTACATTTAACACAAGTCAAAGTTATGCTCTAGTGAGGGAAGTTGAATGCTAAATTGAACGTTCAAAGCATGCTGTGAAGTCTTAATGATAAAGCTTCTAAATTGAAACATCTGTACTGGAGCATACACTAATCATCTGTTATTCCATTTTGGTCTGGCGTATTGGTAATGGTATGTAGCATGGAACATGTTCGGAATTGATCGTGTGTTACTTGGTTGTGTTAAAGGCATATTGATAGCTTGGAAGTTCAGAAGAAAGAGGTAGAGAAGTAGAGCATGGGAAGCAGATCTCTAGGATTATGTGGACCA